GTGTTAGAGCGATAAGGTAAATGTTCCCAAAACAAAAATGTAAGGACATATAAAATAACCATTTATGAAATCATCAATTTCACGTCTTTTTTTCTTCAGACAAAGGTAAATTCATTATCAAACCAGCAAATTACAGAGGCCAAATTACAACATTAAGCTCAAAATATAGGGATGGACCCCCAAATCAAACTAAAATAGAGCTCAAAACAAAAAATAATAATCAGAGAAACAAAAAAACCCTAACATCTGCCACGAACGTCCTTATTATCATCGCTGAAATACTGAACACCGAAGAAGAGGCAGAAGGCTCGACGTGAGTGTAAACACGGAAAATTCCTGAAACGAAAGAGACAAGAAACGACGTGCACGAACAAATATTTGTATTTGATGATTTTGGGTTACAATCTCTCTCTAATTTGATCATCTGATTCGATCTCCGTAAGGTGTTGATTTGTGGATGTTTCGTTGATCTAAGGGCCGTTAAGGCTTGATATTGGATGAACTGTTGGAAGTTTCTTCAAAGGGCCGTGGGCTTGATCTTTGAAGGTGGATTTGGGGGCTTGATCTTCAAGGAGCCGTTTTGAGGTGAGATTGAATGGTTCTTCAAGGGTTGGGCTTGAAAGTGATTTCAGCGGATCTTCAAGGAGCCGTTGGGCTTGATCTTGAAGGCTTGATCTTGAAGTTTCGGATTGAAGGGCCGTGGGCTTGATCTTTGAAAGGATTGAGATCTTCAATGGGCTTTTGGGCTTGATCTTGAAGAGACGGTTGGATCTTTGAAGATTTGATGAACAGATCTTCAATGGGCTTTTGGGCTTGATCTTGAGAACGGATGAACGGATGATGTGTGGATTGTCGACGTTGTTGATCCAAATGGCCGTTGGGGCTTGATCTTGGATGAACGGATGATGAACGATTGTGCTTTCTTCAAGGACCGTCGGGGCTTGATCTTGAAAGAGCGATGGACGAAGAACGAAGAACGAAGAGAGCTTTCTTGATTCTTAGGGAACCTGGATGCTTGAGAGCTTCAGAGTTTCAGAGCTTCAGAGCTTCAAGGTGTAATATGAATTGGTCCCCCTTAAATGAATGAAATGGGCTTGTATTTATAGAATTTTCCAATGCCTAATTTTGAATATAATATCCCAGATGAAATAAGTCGTTTCTGCCAGGTGTTGACACGTGTCCTATTTGATGACTTTTCCAACTCATTTCAATTTTCGTTGAGTCACACGCTACGTGTAAAATTTATGTAATACATGAGCGTTGACACTTTGATTTATCGGTCAACATTTATTTACGAAATTTCGATGTCTACAAATGCCCCCACTTCAAGGCACGTCGTATACATGTGCTTGTCACGTGTAGGAGATGCGTTTTGAAGTCCCTTACTGTAGATGTCGATCTAAGGGCCGTCGAGGCTTGATCTTGAATTAGGCTGGAGATTTCTTCAAGGGCCGTTGAGGCTTGATCTTGAATTGTTGTTTGAAATTTCTTCAAGGGCCGTCGAGGCTTGATCTTGAAGGTTGAAATTGGACCACAAGGAGCTTCATGTGGTAGATGATCTTTGGCTTTGGTAGTGGGTGAATCGACACGTATTTTGTTGCACTTTGTTGACTTTCCACAGTTTTGATCTTGAACTGGGTTGAAGGATTTTCTAGATTCCTCCAATTGTTGATTTTCCACAGCTTATTCTTGAACTAGGTTTTGATTCAAGGGTGGTAGACACTTAATCTTGAATCGGACTTGTGATTTCTTCCAGGGCCGTCGAAGCTTGATTTTGAATTTGGCTGGAAGCTTCTTCAAGGGCCGTTGAGGCTTGATTCTTGAAGGCTGACTCGAACACACGGCAAGCAGGCACGAGGTGAAGGTGACGACTTGTTGCTTTGTTCAATCTTTCTAATTCACACCTGAGCAGTTTGGTCAGCGGTATGATCTTCAAGATTGATGGGCTCTTCTTCCAGTTGGTGACTTGGTCTTTAAGGATTTGATTCAAGGGTGGTGAATCGGCACGTGCAGCCCACAACGCCTAGTAAGTCGACCCAAGAATTTGAGGGTCAAAACGAGTTCACCGTCCTCAGGCAGATTCGACATCTTCTCGAGTTCTTCATCTCAAACTCTTTCTGCTGAGTTGACTGTGCATGCTGCATTCTTCTCTGCTTGTTTCTTCAGGCAGATGTGGCAGCTTATCGAGTTCCTCAGTTCGGACTCCTTCTGCTGAGTTGACCGTGCAGACCGCATTCTTCTCTGCTTGTTCCTTCTGCACCTTGTCTCCACATGCTGCAAGGTATCATTTTCACTTGCCTTATCTGTTCTCCAGGCAGATGTGGCAGCTTCTTTGAAAGTACAGCAGCAGTGGAAGACGAGTACTCGAGCAGTACTAGGTAGGCAATCAGGGAAGGGTTCCAAGCAGTAGGTTCCTTACCCGAGTTTGAGTGGAAGTTCCGGCATATTGTTTTCTTTATCCTTGTCTTTGTAGGTAGGAACAAGGACAAAGGAAAGGACAGGGAGAGTGCATGATATGAGATACTCTTGCTTTCTACCCTGGTGATATGAGATACTTTTGCTTTGGAGTCATTGGCTTACAGAGGTACCCCAAGGAATAAGGAACACTGAATGACTCGAGAGGTTTCGTTGGGAAAGCATTTTTTTGGAGATCAAGAAAGGCTTTGTATGTCTGCCTTGCTGTGGAAGGTGAAGGTGGACAGTTATAGGAGGTCCTTTAATACCTGTAGAGGTACTATTCTTTCACTCGTGTCGGCAACTAACGCGTGATTGAACAGTAAACTTCACGTGCTTTCTCCTTCACCGAAAATCTTCGACAAATTGCCCGTGATTTGCGCAAAGTTGAGTGTGCATATGACAGGTGATGACGCGGCTGAAAAAGACTGGTGCCTCTTCGATATCTGGGATTGGCGCTTCGACAAATTACCCGTGATTTCCGTAAAGTTGAGTTTGCGTGTAATGGGTGTTGACGCGTCTGGAAAAGCAAGATGCTTCTCCGATTTCTGAGCTTGCCTCTTCGATTTTTGAATGGCCTCTTCGAATTCTGAGCTTGCCTCTTCGATCTCTGAAATCCCGTCGAGTGCTGATTTTTTATAGAGGCACGCAGTTCGTTTCAAAGCACATTTGAATTTTCGCTTGCAGAAACTCCCTTCTTGCACTTCTAAGATCTTGATCTATCTGACCTCTTCTTTCTTCAACACCTTTGAAAATGTCTGGACCCTCCGACCGTCGTTTTGATTTGAACCTTGGTGAAGAGGCAGTCCGCATTCTCCCGACAACATATGGCGCCCCTCATTCATATCCCCTACTGGTCCTCTTACCGTTGGGGATTCGGTGATGAAGAATGATATGACCGCCGCGGTGGTGGCCCGGAACCTTGTCACTCCCAAAGATAACAGACTACTTTCCAGGCGGTCTGATGAGTTGGCTGTTAAGGAGTCTCTGGCTCTTAGTGTGCAGTGTGCGGGTTCTGTGTCCAACATGGCCCAACGCCTATTTGCTCGAACCCGTCAAGTTGAATCGTTGGCGGCTGAAGTGATGAGTCTCAAACAGGAGATTAGAGGGCTTAATCATGAGAATAAACAGTTGCACAAGCTTGCACACAACTATGCCACAAACATGAAGAGGAAAATTGACCAGATGCAGGAATCTGATGGTCAGATTTTACTTGATCATCGGAGGTTTGTGGGTTTGTTCCAACAACATTTACCTTTGCTTCTGGGGCTGTACCGCGTAATGAAGCTCCGAATGATCAACCTTTGGCTCTTCTTCTTCCTGGAGTTCCGCCGAGTGGTGAGGCTTCAAACAGTCAACCTCCAGCGCCTCTCATTTCTGGAGCTCTGCCGAGTGGTGAGGCGGCACCTGATCGTCCTTGAAGATCCCCTCTTGTAAATTTGATTTGATTTGATTTGTTTTTTTTTTTTTTAAGGTATGTATAATGCAAATTTATGCAAAATTTCCAAAAAAATAAATAAAATGGACTTTATTTCTCTCAATGCAATTTTTTTTTTTTGCTATATATATATTATGTACACATATATATATATCTATATATATTATTTCTTTTTCTTTTGGCGCTGTACAACCATCCCTTTTTTTTTTCTCTTTTTTCTTTTGTCACATGGTGCCAGACGCACCAAAGATCAATTTTTTTTTATTTTAATTTATTATATATATATATATTATTTTTATTATTATTATTATTATATATTTTGCCTTTAATTATGGTGCCAGCCGCACCAAAGTTTAAATATTTTTATATACATATTTCTTTTTTCAGAATGGTGTTGATCCAGCACCCAAAACACTTTATAATTATTATATGTAAATTTTTTATTCTTTTATTATTTATTATTATTATTTTTTTTTTCTTTGCACATGGTGCCTGATGCACTCCCTTTTTTTTTCACGTGGTGACAGCACCACTTTGTTTTGCTCCACCACCCTTTTTTTTTATTATATTTTTTTTGTATAAATTCTGATGACGGGATGGGGAATTTGCAGGGAAGGACGAAGGCGGACGGAGAAGATGGTGCTTCGAGCTTCACGACCTGCTAGTCGTTTGACGGCGGTCGTTTGAAGTTCTTTGCTATCATGGTGGTCATAGCGACGAGCTCGAGGGAGGCCAGGCACTGCGGTGGAAGGAGTCGATGCCGAGAGCGCAGCCCAACTTGCTCCGGGTGTGCGCACCATGTGCAGCAGGTCGGGTTTGAGTGGAGTGAGGAGTAGGCAAAGACGGAACAAAAGGCTTACATCTAAAAGAACTACAATCCACAGGCAAGCAATTCCTCTTGTTGTCAAAGCCCGCCAGTCCCAGACACGCCAGCGGCTCACCCGCGAAGAAGTTATACGAGTAAGTGAAGTTCTACATACTCGGCAGCGAACAAATACTCGCCGGAATCTTCCCCGACAGCAAGTTGTGGGCCACATTGAGCTACTCAAAGCTCACCATCCCTCCAATCGTCTCCGGTAGCGACCCCAGAAACTGGTTGAAGCTGACGTCAAACACCGTCAAGTTCTTCAGCACCCTTGTGGCAGCCAGATCTCTGACACCTCCTTTCTCTGCTGTGGGCTCCATCCGCGTTCTCATCCGACGGACAGTATTGCATCTTCCTCTGCGTCAGCAAGCAACACAGGAAACGCGAGCCGTCCATTGGACGAGCCTTCAACACCTGCCTTGTTGTTCCCGCCAATTCGGTGATCATGTTCACTTCCTTCAGAGGCGGTAATGGCGTCGCCAGAGATGATGCCGCCGACTCGCAGACGTCTGAGTTCTCCGCCGACTCAGTGAAAGAGTTTTCCTTCGAATTGCCGGGGTAATCACTCGATTTGCTCTTCATGCTGTCGCGTCGCCGGCACCGGAAGCTTTCTCCATTTCCCATCAGGTCGCGGTACCCGACCGCAGACAACTCGCTCACCGCCGGAGCCAGGTACGAGCCGTCGATCACCATCGCGGCCACATTCAACACGCCTTGGAATCTTCCAGAAGGTCTCGCTGAAGCAGCTAACGGAACCTTGGACGCGACGTCGAGAAAGTTGTTGATCAGAAGTCGGACGATGCCGACGGTGATCGCTGAAGCAGCCGACGGCGTAGATCTGGATGGAGACATGGGAGGTCTCTCTTGAGAGAAATGCGGACGGGACCTTGAAGAGGAACCGATCGTTCCACGTGGGGTTCTCGCCGTCGATCTTGTCGACCCGGGAGCGGATCTTGTGGGCGGAGTCGACCCAGGCGAGGGCGGAATCGTCCTTGGGGATGGCGACGGAGAGAAACGCCGTGAGTTGCTGCTGTTGGTGATGAAGTCCTTGCATCGTTATCTTGCTGCTGATGCTGCTTCTGCACTAGATCTAGAAGCATCTCTCATTCTCTCACTCAACTGAGTCGGCTCTGGAACTCTGACTCGGGTTTTCTGATTGGTTTATCCGCAGCTGCTGTTGCTCTGCGCTGTCTCTGTGTCTCTGGACTCAACCTGATTCGTCTTCTGCAGGTGGTGGGACTGGGCCTGTGAATTGAGCTTTCTGCTGCTGGGCCGAGACACAAGTGAGGATGGGCCTGGCATTTGGGCTGCTCCTTTCTGTGGACTTCAACTTGTGTTTATTTGATTTGGCACGGGTCTTAAGTGTAGGAAGACCCACATTAATATGTATACATTTTTTTTATTTTAATACCAAGAATATATATATATATATATATATATATATATATATATATATTTTAATAAAATTGATTCTCTTTAATAAAACATTTATTTTTTATTTTGATGTGACTGAACTTGAAATTGAATATTCAAGCTGCCTACGTACCTTTCCAAAGAAAGAGATCAAGTCAAAACGTAGTTCAAATACATTTTTTTCTTGGTATTTTTTTTTTTTTTGGTGCCATTTGCAGTTTCAGCTCATGCAGGCAAGGAGCGTTGGTGTTGCCTTTTATGCTCGTGCAGACCAGGAGCGTTGGTTCGTGCAGTTTAGGCTCGTGCGAACAAGGAGCATTGTGCCATGCAGTTTAGGCTCATGCGGGCGAGGAGAATTTGTGAATTTTGTCAAGCAATCCGGGAGAGGTGTTCCTCACAATTTTCATAGCAATGAGCTTTGACCGCATGATTGAAGAAGTCTTCGGGCAAGAAGTCGCTCATCGTGATGGGGATGGACGATCTTCGTGTCGAAGTTTCATCATCTTCAACACGTTCATGTTGCTTTGAAGGTTGACAAGAGTTGCTTTGCCCCCTTTCCGATTGGCGGACTTGTGGAGGAGACGTATGCTTCTTGTGCAATTTCTTAGGAGTGACTTGAGTCCATCCTTCAACTTTGCTTGTCTTGGAGGATGCCCCCAGCGGTTGAGGTGAAAACTTTGAGTCGAAAGAGCCAGAAGTGAAGGTGGTATAGTTTGACTTCGCCACATCGTCAAGATCTAGCTCGATGATTCCTTTCTGAGCCAGCTTCATGATGAGATCTTTCAGCACGAAACATTTTTCTGTCGGATGACTGATGAAGCGGTGGAATTTACAGTACCTTGGACTGTCGGTGCGATTCATCTTTTCTGGCCGTTTGCACTCAGGCAAACCAATCACCTTCTTTTCCAGCAAGTCTTCTAACATGGCAACCACATCAGAGTCGGGGAATGGATAAGTCTTCTCCTCAAGCTCCTTCAAAGTGCGTCTACGCATCTCTTGATCACGAAAAGCTTCGGTTTGAATCGCCTTGCCTCGTGTGGATATTTTGACGGGAGATGTGTTGACCGTCATCGCTTCCTTGGTGGGTTTCCATGCAGCCTTTTCCACCTTTGTCCCAAGAACTTTTTCGTTCTTGTAGTCGGCGATCGGTTCTTTCTTCCCATGATGGGCGATGCTCAACTCCATGTCATGGGCGCGAGTGGCCATTTCCTCGAAAGTCCGTGGTTTAATGCCTTGAAGGATGTATTGCAAACCTCATTGCATGCCTTAGATGCACATCTCGATTGAAGAGGTTTCCGAGAGCCTGTCTTTACAGTCGAGGCTTAGAGTGCGCCATCTGTTGATGTAGTCAATGACTGGCTCGTCCTTCCACTGTTTTGTGCTCATTAGCTCTAGCATGCTCACAGTGCGGCGGGTGCTGTAGAAGCGGTTGAGGAATTCCCGCTCCAATTGCTCCCAGCTGTTGATGGACTTAGGCTCTAGGTCCGTGTACCACTCAAAGGCATTTCCTTTCAGCGAGCGCACAAACTGCTTGGCGAGGTAGTCTCCCTCCGTCCCTGCGTTGTTGCAAGTTTCGACGAAATGTGCAACGTGCTGCTTTGGGTTTCCTTTTCCATCAAACTGCATGAACTTTGGTGGTTGATAACCCCTTGGCATCCTTAGGGCATCAATCTTCTTGGAATAGGGCTTCGAGTAGAACAAAGAGGTATGTGAGCTCCCTTCGTACTGTGCCTTGATGGTGTTGGTGATCATCTCCTGCAGCTGCTGGATAGAAAGAGATCCCATGAGTGCCGCTGCTTGGTCTGGCTCCGGCTTCCCATCGATTTTCTTCACCGAGGGTTCTTCGTCTCCGCCAGCTCCTCCCTTTAGTGGATCATCCTCTGGGTCGGGTTTATCGCCGTCATGCGCCTCTAGTCGGTTGACTAGTGCTGCAATTTGCAAGTCTTTTTCTTCTACAGTTCGGGTTAGCCTTGCGATTGCTTCATTCATTTGAGCCAGCTGCTCATCGATTGAGGTTGCTCCAATGGTCATGACTTGCATGGCTGAACTGTCGCTTGAATCGGCATCGGTGAGCATGGATTCGGAGTATTTCCTTGGGCTTTCCCCCCTTGGTGCCCTTAGTAAGGCTAAGGTGATCAAAGGCTCGTGCCTTGGGTGCTTTTGTTCCCTTGGCAGAGTTGATGCAGAGGTGAAAGAGGCGGCAGAAGTAGCTCTTGCCATGCTTCGAGTCGTGATGCCCAAAGTGACACCAGTTGCGACGAGGACGCTTTTGTTCTTTGCGCCGGTTGCGGGAACAGTTTGAGCCTTCCTTGATGCCATTAATTTTGGAAGTTCGCTTGAATTTCTTGAACGGAGAAAGAGATGAGAGGCAGAGATTGTCCCACCGGGCGTGCCAATTTGTGAACAAGGAAAATTCCTGAAACGAAAGAGACAAGAAACGACGTGCACGAACAAATATTTGTATTTGATGATTTTGGGTTACAATCTCTCTCTAATTTGATCCTCTGATTCGATCTCCGTAAGGTGTTGATTTGTGGATGTTTCGTTGATCTAAGGGCCGTTAAGGCTTGATCTTGGATGAATTGTTGGAAGTTTCTTCAAAGGGTCGTGGGCTTGATCTTTGAAGGTGGATTTGAGCGGATCTTCAAGGAGCCGTTGGGGCTTGATCTTGAGGATGAATGTTTCTTCAATGGCCGTGGGCTTGATCTTTGAAAGTGGATTTCAGCGGATCTTCAAGGAGCTTTTGGGCTTGATCTTGAAGAAACAGTGATGAACAGATCTTCAAGGGGCTTTTGGGCTTGATCTTGAAGAACGGTTGGATGTGTGTGGATTTGTCGACGTTGTTGATCCAAAGGGCCGTTGGGGCTTGATCTTGGATGAACGGATGATGAACGATGGTGCTTTCTTCAAGGGCCGTCGGGGCTTGATCTTGAAAGAGCGATGGACGAAGAACGAAGAACGAAGAGAGCTTTCTTGATTCTTAGGGAACCTGGATGCTTGAGAGCTTCAGAGTTTCAGAGCTTCAGAGCTTCAAGGTGTAATATGAATTGGTCCCCCTTAAATGAATGAAATGGGCTTGTATTTATAGAATTTTCCAATGCCTAATTTTGAATATAATATCCCAGATGAAATAAGTCGTTTCTGCCAGGTGTTGACACGTGTCCTATTTGATGACTTTTCCAACTCATTTCAATTTTCGTTGAGTCACACGCTACGTGTAAAATTTATGTAATACATGAGCGTTGACACTTTGATTTATCGGTCAACATTTATTTACGAAATTTCGATGTCTACAGTGAGATTTATAGAGGATGGTTTACAAGACTAGACACATATTATGAAATCATCCAATTTCTTTTACCTACTAACTTCATGAAAGACCAATAACTCCTTTATCGAATGTTCCACATTATCCCACACAATAGTCACATAATTTGATGTGAGGGTAGGCGACTCCTCATCTCTGACCGCAATGGGAAGCCAATAGTGAATGTTAAGTGCATCGATAAACTTCATCCGACCCTGAAAGACGTTCTGAAATGCCAACTTCTTTTTCTCTATTTTGTTGTACTCGTTGACAGCAAACTATGCGATCTCTTTCACATATGCGTCACTGATGTTCTTGATCGGCTGCCAATCACCGCCTTGGGCTGTGACCAAGGGAGGAAAGAGGAGGCAAAAGATCAGTGTTGAAATTGCCAGGATACTATATAATCAGGTCATTTTTTGGAATGAATAGACGCATTGAGAGTGCAATAGAATTTATAGTGGATTTCGTTATTTAATTTTATGGTGATGTTATTATGGCTTTAAAACACTTTCCTTTCTAATGATCCATTTCCGCTTTTATCCGGATTGAGGCGATTATAATAGTTCCAAAATTGTTTTTCCTATTTAATTAATTGCTAAACATGAATCTATTTCCTATGTTTGGGTTCTACCTACGAATGTTATATAAGTTTAAAAGTAATGCTAGGAAAATCACATATATTTTAAAATTACATTTTGAAAGTTGACTTGCTAAGACCACATATTTGAAATATGTGGGTAAACAAAGTTCCTATATTTTGTAGATTCTCAATTTAAATTTATACAAATAATATTCTTATACGTGGTAGGTAAATTGTTTTTTATGTATTACTAAACTTTTTATTATTGTTGTTGTATATGAGTAAATAATTGACAATAGTAATTTGACAATATATATCAAGACATCAATTCTCATATTTTTTTTCTTACTATGGATTGAATTTGTAGTTAACAAACAAGTAATTAGGGGCATTAAGACATCCAAAAAATTACAAAATGTGTGAAAGCAAATTTAATTAAAGAATTTTCTTGGGTTGGGTTAAACCTTCAACACTCATTTTGTGTGTGTGTGGTCTCCATAATAATTTTAGAACCCAATTCAACAAGAATACATATATAACAAAGCCAAAAAGAATCAAGAAAATTAAGAATTGAAGATCAATTATTCCCTCGATTTATTTATTATAATGAAGGATGATAAACTTCAAGCAAACTAGAGTCCAGAGTACATGATTGCATAAACACAAGCATTAAAATATAAAACGATCATATTATCCGAAACCTAGTTAGGCTTTGACAATCGATGAAATGATATCAACTGCTTAAAATGCTCCCAAGCCTTCTCCCACACAACACCCTCGTAATCCGCGGGAGTGGCAACATCGGGATCAGCCACGGACTTGTTCTTAGCGGAAATGACAAGCCGGTAGTTGATGCCCGCCACCACCTGGCTGTCGCCCCGGACGACTCTCTCAAACGCCAACTTGTTCTGGCCTTGGGCTTGCTTGCTGTACTCCGACACCGCAAACTCTGCAATCTCTTTCACATGGGGGTCGCTGATGTTCTTTATGGGCGCCCAACCGCCGGTTATAAGGCCCCGTCGGTCCGCGGCAGCGGCCACCAGAGGAAGGAGGACGAGGGCGAGGATGAGGAGGCAGTGAGGGCGCATCGTGACCGTTGCTTTCTTTAATTTGTTGAAGTTTCTTTGACTGGCTCCACTCCACGAATGACAAGTGCAATGGGGGATGGCAAGATAATAGAGGTTTTGGATGTGCATAACGGGCAGTAAGGTAAAGGGTTTGGCATATATGGAAGGTTAGGTATTGACTTGTGTTATCCTGGATATTACTGTCCATATTGGGTCGTGCAGGGATTTCTTTCGCCATTGCTTTCTTGATATATTTACGGCATGGTCTAATTACTAATTTGTTTTGATATTTTTCTTCATTTGTGACTCTTTACTTTTTTTAGGAATAACCGACAGATTGATTGCAATCACAATTACAAAGCATCCTGGATGAGACCAATAATCAGAATGATGTTAGGAGACTTGAATCATTAGCAATACATAATGCATACTTTGCTCATCTATGGCCACGATGAACTTCCAACCGCCGACAAGGATTGTGATACGGGCGGCAGCCAGAGGAAGGATGACGACGACGAGAACGAGAAGGCACTTTGGGCGCATCGTGGCCGTCGATTAAAATTTTTCTTGACTGACAACATACAGTCCACAAGTGACAAGTGATGGGCATGCTCCGATGGAGGATGGCAGGGTTGGATGTATCGACGTTGTTGGGTAAAGGATTTGTCTGTATGCTTATAGAAATAGGAGAAATAAAATTAAAAAACTAAAAAGGAATCATTTTTGGCTGTGTATGCATTACATGTATGGGAAAAGCAAACTTGCTTTTCCTTGTTTTTCATTTACATAAAATTAGGATATAATTAATTGTTTGGATTAGGTTTGGTTTGAGCGAAGGTAGCCACATTATTCGAGGATATCCATCTTATGTAATCTTGGCACGACGACACACTCTTTCTTTGGATCAGGTTGAGATTTTATTAAGGCCCAAATAAATGCACTATGTTCTCTATTTTGTACGTATTCATATTTCTCATCAATGAATGTAATATACTTTACTTAAAAAAGAATAATTTAGAGGATTAGTCGACATAATTGTGACATGTTTACTTGAAATCAGAAAAATCATGAATCGGGGAGTTAGTAACTTGAATAATTTCGTTCCCTATCGATCTTACTCCTGCTCTTAGCTAGTTGATCTAATTTATAATTATTTTAATGTTAGATTACCAATTTTAGTGTGGAATTTACATTTGTTGCAGTAAACGCAAGAAAGCCAAAAATAAGAAATTACAATTTTCATTCATATACAACTAATATTTTCTTTTTCAAGGATGGTTTTTTTTTCATGTGCCTCTTTAATTGGTTCAGTCTTTTTTTTTTTGCGCCGTTTTCTTGTTTTTCTTATTTCTGTTCTCTTTTATCTCTCTGTTTTACAACAAATGAAGACTGAATCAAGAACACAAAAAAATTCACGAAAATAAGGATTGAAGATCAACCATTCAAATTGCTCTAATTATTGATATAAACTTCAAGCAATCTTTAAACCTAGTTAGTTTTTTTTCGAACGATGAAAGTAGACCAATTCCTTGTGATGCTCCCAAGCCCTGTCATAGACGAAGACCTCATAATTATTTGCGGCGGCGGTGCCGATAACCCTGGTGGGATTTGCCACCGACGACTCATTTTTTGCCGAAATGAAAAGCTTATAGTTCGTGCCCGCAACGAGTTGCGTCTCACCCCGGAGCACTGTCTCAAACACCAACTTGTTCTGAGCCTTTGCTTGCTTCGTGTTGTACTCCGACACAGCGAACTCTGCGGCCTCTAGCACCTCGGGGTCGCTGACGTCCTCAATGGGTTTCCAACCGCCGATCTGGACTGTGCTGGTGGCGGCGGCCAGAGGAAGGATGAGGGCAACAAGAAGGAGGAGGCACTGAGGGCGCATGGTGACCGTTGATTTAACTTCTCTTCGACTGACTGACACAGTTGCACTCCACAAGTGACAAGTGATGGCATGCATGCAATGGAGGAGGGCAGTTTGGAATATAAACATTTGTTAGGTGGAGTATTTTGTCTGTATGCTAGCGGAAACAGAAAAAAAGTTCAGTGATCATGAATGAATTCCAGACCTGTATTTTACATAGTGTATTTTGTGTTCAATTTCAGGAGTTACCAATCGTAAAATAGAGGCTAGAGAAAATTAAATGCATTTGTAAATCTTCCAAACTCTAAAAAAAGTAGACTTGGGTGGCAAATCCACCGACTAATCCCTTAAAAAAAAAAAGATAGAAACAAATTTTTCTTTCCGTATTTTTAATAGGGAACTTTAATAAAAAATTCTTAATACTGTTCACTTTAACGAAAAAACATATTTTTACATTAAAAAGTCAATTATGGTACTATTCACTTTATCTTTTATTTTGTATGTATTATTAAAATCCAAAATTTTCAAACATTTTTCATTAATTTTTCCTTTTTAATATGCAGTCCGTGAGTATATGAGACATTTTATTCCCGTGACTCTAAATTAACTGAGAGTCAATCGCTTTCATAGCCTACGTGTCTATTGCTTAAAAAATTAAGCCAAAAGTCACGATTCTGTAGTGTTCGGTGTGACACAAAGTCATCGATATTAGTTTTGTGTTATTATTTTGTCACTTATTTTCCTAACAATTTTTATACAACAACAAAAACTGTAAACACCAAACATCTTTTATCACTTTGACAAAAAAAAAAACATCTTTTATCACAATATATCAACGTACTATAAATATATAAATAATCGAATTAAATTACATCAATAATATAACAAAAAATATTACTCTTATCACATTTTGTATAATTTTTTTAATAAAGATAAGACTCATATGTGTTGGTGAGTCCTATTTATATTATAAATAGGATACAAATATGATAAATGTAGCATTACTCGTAATATAAACAACACATCGACGACGATTATGTTATCCAAAATTATGTCAACAATAATATAATCCTCGTCGGCAATGGTGTAGCCATGTTAAGGGTTACCTTGGGCTATAGCCCAGGTAGCTTTCAGTAAAAAATGAAAACTTTACATGTAATTTTTATTGATTTCGAATATAGCCCATCATATATTTAGTCACTAATCATAATTCTCTTGATTTAATCATATAAAATTATATAATACAGTTTGCAAACCATCTCTTTTTTTTTTTTTTTACATCATTTTTCTCATTACTTCTTGTACATGTACAAATTTGGATTTGTTTGAATTTAACATGTATTTGTTTAATAACGAAAACTCTTGGCTCACCTTGTGAAATTTTCTTAAGTTAAAGGATATTGTGAAAAATACAATGTTAAGTTTCTTTGTTTATAAAGATTTAAACTTTAAGTTAGCCCACCTAGTGAAAATTTTCTAGTTCTGTCATTGCTCGTCGATCTATATATTGGGTAGAAGTGCGGTAATTTTAGGAAGAAAAAATAGCCATATATTTGCTTTATTTAGTATTTCAATAAGATACTTAGGCACTGTTTTGCACGCCGTATAAAACACCGGATAGTACTAATAATACGGAGTACGGTGTTTGGTGTCCGTTTGGATTAAATAACCACCGGATTAAATAATCCGATCCCACCTCCTTTATCCGACTGATACCCACTTAGTTATACCGCTCAAAACCTCGGTATTATTTAGTCGGGTAGAAACACGCCTCTCTCTATCTCTCCATCCTGCATGGCTTGCCCTCTAATTTGAATCCCAAGTTCTTGTCCTCCTCTGTTTCGCCCTCCTGCAACTCCTCCTCCTCTGTTCCGCCCTCCTGCAACTCCTCCTCCTCCTCCTCCTCCTTCTTTGATCACCGCGAACAACGTAAGAGGACAATCGCGATGGACTAACGAAATCGAATGGGAGAAGCAAAGTGCTTCAAATTAGAGAGAGTTCCTCTCGCCGCTTGCTCTACTCCTCTCACATCACTTGCCCTCTCCTTTGAATCCAAGGTTCTTCCTCCACTTCTGAATCTAAGATTCTTCTTCCTCCTCCCTGTTCCGCCCTCCTCCTATTTTTCTTGCAATTTTTCTTCTTCTCTCTCTGTTCTACCCTCCTATTTCTCTTCCAACTTTTGTTTCTTCAATCAGATTGAATCTGATTGTTGTTTTTCTCTCAAATTTTTGCAATTGATTTTATAAATTTTCAATTGCTAAAGAACCCATCTGCCTCCTTTGGGTCATATCCTTCATAACCATTCTACTTTTACTGGGCTGATTTGTAGCTAAAAAAAAAAAGAGAAGGATTGGGAAAAAAAACGATGAGAATTTGAAAGTTGGGTTTTGCTGGATTTCTTGTTGCTGCCTTTGTGGTGAGGTTTAGTTCAGGGGAGCAGACGGGGAAGAAGAAGAAGGGATAAAGAGGGAGGGAGTTTAGGGGGGTGCGGCAGAGAGATATGGGAACAAAAGAGATGTTTTTAGTTTTTTTACAGTATAAATAATACAGTCATTAGTCCGATACTATACCAAACGCCCGACTAATTTAGTCAGTACTATCCGGTGACTATTTATCCTATCCGGCATAAATATGTAGTACAATCTGAGCTGCCAAACGAGGCCTTATATGTCAATGGGGTTAGTGAATGGAAGACAATGTCTATAGAGAGTTTTATTTATTTTTTGGATGTGGCCAAGTTTTAACTATTTTTTTCTCCCGTGACAAGAAATGCAAACTAGGAAATGACAGGTTTCTCAAATCGAATGAATTTCCGGGCAAACTAGCATAGTTATCATATGTAATATAATATGGCTGCAATCAAGATACACACAAAGCTTTCTACCAAACAAGGAATGAAGAGAGAAGTAATATGTTGCCCTTTGGTCGCTTTCTTTCCTTTCTTTTTCTCATGTATCTGTACGCTTGCAATGTGACTGTATATACACGTAAACCTCCTCTTTGCCAATTACCAAGAGCGAATATTTGTATCATCTTGTTGTCTAAAGTCATTGAACTGCAGGTTCATTTGTCCCAAATACATAAGCTCCTGCAGTGCCAAAAATTATAATGAATACGAATAACATAAGTTTTTTGTTAATAAAGAACGGATGCTATTATCGATGTCCTGAAAATATATCAATAAAATGTCCATACTGTTTAGCAACAATGATTTTGACATGTTGTCGACATCATGTAGTAGTAATTTACGCAAATTGGTCAAAAAATAAAGTTACCTAGTGTGGGCATCAGAAGGGACAGCACAACAGTTCCAGCAATCTTCAGTGGCAATCCAGTCTTAATCATGTCTTGAATTTCAATGTGTCCAGTGGTAAACCCTACAATATTCGAAGGGGTACCGGTCGGAAGCAAGAAAGAAAACTGTGCCCCAATGGCTCCTGGAATCATAAGGAGGAGTGGATGTACATGCATGCTTTTGGCTATTTGAATCAAAAGAGGGACAACAAGAGTGGTGGTGGCATTGTTTGATGTGAACTCAGTGATGGTACTACTTATGAGACACACAGCCGGCGCAATGGCCATATATGGGACAGCCTCCAAGAAATCTAGGGCTTTAGATAAAATGTCTGCAAGGCCGCTAGTTCGGACTCCGTCGGCGATGGCAAAACCAGCACCTAGTAACAATATGATGTTCCATGGTAGCTTCTTGCATTTGTTCCAGTCCATCAACTTCTCTCCCTCTTGCTTTTTGTTTGGAATTATGAACAGCAAAGTTGCCATCATAACCTACATATACATATTGTCAATTCCAACTTTAATTCAATTAAATTACACTTCCCTAAACTCCAAACCCTAATTAATCCAATTTAATTAGGTCGTTTGTTCTTGAATTTTGAAGGGTAAATACTCACACTGACAGTTCCATCACCAGCACGCCCATTGAAGAGGGATCCCCACCCAGGAATATCATCTGTTATGCTCCTTGTCATCCACAAAACTATCAGCATCTGCACAAAAATATTCTAGTCATACTTGGATAGTGATTAACACACACAATTTTTGGTTTATTGAAAAATGGTAAAATATTTAGCTTAAAGTGCAAGCAGCTAAAGGAGAAGCGCCAAAATTGCACCGCAAAGTTAAGTATTGGATTGACAACGTACCGAAAACACAGCCAGTACCATCTTCTCAGCAAAAGCCATTGGACCTGTCATATCATCAACACTTATGAGCTGACTTGTAAATAAAATCACGATATATTTACTTATTTGAAATAATTAGACAGAAAATGAATCAAAATTCAACTAATCTCGAATTAATCTAATTTCTTGTTTTATCACAGGTCATGGTTCTTGGACTGTAATGTGGGACGCACATACATTTTAATTTCTTATGTGTTCGCAAATGCAAGAAAACAAACCGAAAAAGTTCAATTAGAAGAAGAAAGACTAATTATGGACTTGTACCTAGCATTTCAAGCTCCCTCTTCAAGTGAGCTTTGTCCAGATAAGCAGAGAGAGCCTGGCCTGAATTCCTTGGGCAATACAAGCAACAAAGTATAACCCACAAAGCCAAGAATATCAACAAGGCCAGAGGGAACCCTAGAAAGAACCAGGTGCTGAAGCTGATGGGCTTCGCCTCTGGAAAATAGCTCTTCCACATCCCAACCAATATCAAGTTCACACCTGTCCCAGTGAGAGTGCTCATCCCTCCTATGGCCGCGGAGTATATCACCCCCAGCACCACCGCCCTGCAGAACTTGCTCTCGGCAACGGACTGGTCCGGACACACCGGAAAGCGCTGGAGGATCCCAGTGGCCACCGGCATCATTATCACAGCTGCCGCCACGTTGTGCATCCACATGGAGACGAATGCTGTCGTGGCGCATATTCCCAGTAGGAGCAGGGGAGGACTCAGCGGGTCTCCGCAGAAGAGCATGGTTATCTGTGGTGGTCCGCAAACGTGAGTGATCCACACTCACTCAAATAATTGAGGAATATTTTAGTACAATAATTGAGATTCTTAATAATTATCTTATGCCATGATAATGACTAATACTTATTCAAGAGAAGCTACGGAATTTAAAGCATGTGTTATGAATTATTTTCATCCAAAAACAAACAAATCTATACGGATAATTTAACGAAATTTTAACGAAACATTTCTAGTATTGTTTACTTTAATAAAAATGACATTTTTACTCTAAAAAGTCACTCATGATACTATTCACTTACAATACATTTTTGTCTTTTTGATTAAAACTCAAAATTTTCAAACAATTTTTATTAGTTTTCTTAGGTGATAAAAAGTTGTGGAAGTCAAACTTCAATTTCTCACTTACAAGCAAAAAGATGATAGTGCTAAT